TAAATCTGGTTTTTATGTCTCCAACGTGAGTATTGTATCACTAGCATTTTTCCTTCACTACTACAAGAATTCCATGAGTCACTTCAACACCAGAAATGGTATAAATTCAGGACAGGATATAATGCTCTCCGTAGCTCCTGTACATTTATTAGCTGTCCTTCTTTTCATTAGTTTGAATAACTTGCCAAATAATAATTGTAAAAATGTTCTGTTTCCTGTTTTTAACTTGTAAAGAGATGCAACACTAGGAAAGCAGTCTTTCTTTCTCCTTAACCCACCACTAATACAGAGCCTTCTAGTCTTGGAGGAGATACTTGAACAGTTGACACAGACCACTACACATAAAGCAGCAAATTTGCTGTGCATGATGTGAATAATTATTGCATTATAGTTTTGGGGTTTAGGGCAACTGTTGACTCAAGCAAAATAAGCCTGCAGTCCAGCTGCAGATCCAAGTTTTCTTAAGTTTTCTTGTGTTTTTCCCTCCAATGCTGTCTCCTTTAACAGTGACCCTTTTCAGACTTTTCAAGGTACAAAACCTTTACCAAATCCTCGAGCTCAGTCCTGCACACTCTGCTTTCACACATTCGGTTGATCTGAGCTTCTCCCTCACTAAATATTTTCCACTGGCCTGAAAACAAAAACACAAAGGAGACAGGTATTGACTTAGAAAAGGGCACAGGGACTTCGAAGACATTTACAAGCACTCTGCAAACCAACTGATTCACAATCGTCGAAGAGGGAATGTCCAATCCTCCCATGGAAAATATTCAAAGCATCTTACAACCATGTAACATATTCCAGGCAAAACAACTTTGTTAAAAAAATAAATATGGATCAGCATATTGCTATTTTCTTTAATTAAGTAGTCCTGTAAGTTGCCTCTGTTTATTCAAGCATTTTATGACACTGGATACTCTGGTAAACAAAAGTATTTAAAAGCTGGGAAGCAACACAGCTAAATGTTTCATGTGCATAATGAACTCTTCCTACCTGTGCATAATACAAAGTGTAATGGAGATTAACATTTCTACACATTTATGATAGTGTTAATAGAAATGCATGCTGTCCTGGTAACTAGAATACTACATTACAGACAACAACGACAAGCTTATGGACAGCTGACAGCAAAAAACTAGGGAATCTTTTATACGAAAATAATCTGTATCTCAATAGGTCTGTAACAATTGAGAGTATATTTTTTCTGGGAAAAAGACTTTTTAACTAGAAAAAAAAATACAGAAAAAAAATACCAGTGGTAATGCAAAAGAACTAGGGATGGAAAATATATCTTAATTCACTTAGCAAAGTAGCTGAATTAGTAATTGCTAACTACTGTCACAATCCCAAACTAGATGAAATACAAACCAAATTGAATCAACAGTGATAAAAGAAGTACATGTCCTTTCATAAAACACATTTTAATAATGAAGATGTCGTTAAGAATATAGGAAAGTAATCTTTCAAATACAACATAAGTGTATGTAGAACCCCTTTAAAAATATCTGAATTTTTTCCCTTCTAAATTGCTATCTAAAACACTGGGGTAACTTGACATGTTACATAAATAAATTCAAATTCTGCAGCTGTGCTGACATTAGCCATATTTCAGATTTATGCTAGCACGGGCAGAAAAGATCATATATTGTACTTTACCAAAACACAAGAGTCTAAGACAGCATGTACAGAAACTACTGTTACATGTATCTATATTTTAAGCTGCTGTATTTTGATTACTTAAATCGAAACTTATCAAATAATGTGATCATCTGCTAGAGAAAAATTCAGTACATCCATTTGACTGGGCTGAGTAACAGAGAATGTTTTTCATGGCTATGATTATATGGAGAGTAGGAACCTCAGTAAGTCAGAATTTTACTTACTAAGGGTTGTCCTTGTTATCAACTTGAAGTAAGGAAGTCCTTCAAATTCTCTCTTGGACAATTTTTCAATGTAGAGGTGACGCAGAATCCCTTCAGCAAAGAAATGAGAAGTGCGTGTTACTGGAAATGTGCCCATTGTTCTAAACCTGGAGTGCTGTCCTGCCTTTTTGTAAAATTTTCAGTCTATTCTTTTTTAAATTCTGTTTCTCCATCCCTCTGGTTTTTTGCCATTCCCCTGTAAATCCTCTCGTGAAACCGTGATTGCAGCAAGTTTGTGAGGGGTGTGAGAATTAGCCAATTCTTTTCCAAATTATCTGAATCCTTCCTTATTATGAGTAAATATAAGATTACAACAGAAGCCAAAAGTCAGTGTCTTGGAGAAAAATACTGTAATTTTGCAGTCAGATACCATTTTGAGCCAGCAGGCAACATGACTGTCAAATCATTATTAGGCTTTGTGGCTTTTTAACACATAAGGTAGTTGTGAACCACCCAATGCTCTGTCATTTCTTTTCTGCTCCCACTTTGGCTTTGGCTTTCTCCTTTAAAGCATCTAGAGATGTATCATTTCCATGCAAAAGGGTACACTATGTGAGAGTTTCCTATGAGGATCATATGCTTTTTGCCTAAAATAGAGATAATTTTTATGAGGCTGAAAGTTCACTATTTGCAGCAGTGTTTGGGCTTCTGAACGCTTCTCTATTTTGTTCTATCTTTACTGTTAGTCTAGTAAAAGATACTGTTTCCATCCTTAATACATATTTTGCCCATATTCTATATGTACTGTCATGGGTGTATCATCACTATGGCAGACAGGGCAGACTGATTTCAATAGAAGGCTTTTTGGTCTATCTTAAGAAAGAGCCTCCAGGCACATGGTTCAAACCCTACTACCCATTTATCTCCAATAAATTACACAGAGTAATACTGAAAATCTGTTTTTCATTGTGCTTTTGCTCCCAATGAAGGCTAGGAGTTAGCAGAACTACAGCTCTGTGTGTTTCTAATGAGTTTTGTACAGAAAAAATCATGTATGTTGGCAGTGGCTGTAATAGTGATACCCTAAAGAGCCAAAAGAATAGCAGTGTCAAAATGCTTGGATCTGTACACTGTTCTGGGATTGTAATGGAAGATGATACACTATTTAAAGAAAGAACTTTCTCAACTCACCTTTTCTAATTGTCCACACATGTATTTCTATTTGAGGTGGCTTTTCAATCTCTATTGCAATTTTCCTGATGGTGTCTCCTTCCTCTGTGACAATGGATTCATAGACAGGAAATGTCTCTTTCCCACAGGAGTAATCTTTGTTGTCGAAGGTTTGACTTGGCACATCTTCTATTTAAAAAACAAAAAGGACAGAACACATACTACCAGCTATAATCAAGTCTTCCAGAATTTACGTAGCATCAATAGCCAGGAAGGGTTAGTTTGAAAGTAGAATGTTCATTTGCATGGCCACACAAATCCATCTCCAGCTGTTAACAGAGACACTTAACAGTGTTCTTCCAGGTTCTGGTAGCCTGTCTATGGTGGCAAGACAGTATTTATACTTGTAATCCAGTTTCCTAAGGAAATGAGCTGTGTACAACAATGTGGTCTGGGAGACTCCTTGCAAGTTTTGAACCTGTTGTCTATGTTTCAAGCATATTTGAAACTACGTTAGAAATCTTGGGGTAATAAAAGAACTAAATGAAAATTGGTGGTTGGTTAGAGTGAAGAGACCCGAATTAATGTTTTGCTGAGGAAAAGAATCTATGAGGTTTGCATTTTGCTTGGCAGTAGCCATGTGGCCAGTACAAGCCTGAGCCAGCCACAGTGCACATTATCTCTTGCCCACCTGGTAAAGTTGTAGAGCACAAGTAGAAGCTATAATTATTCTTTTTGCAATTGGAAGTTGGACAGGAATAGAGGAGAGATGATGCAACTTAGAGGCTCAGACCACTGTTTGTGGAAACGCCTAATAATGAATACATCTCCAGATATACAAGACAGACTGCAGGAAAAGGTTCAGCTTTCCTAAAAATGGGCAGATAGGATCTCAAAAAACAATGCAGTAATCCTCTTTTTTGCCATTATTTTTTCTATTGAAGCCTGTCAGTCAGGCTATGTTGGCTGTTCTTCCAATTAGAAGAAAGCTGTGGATCTCTGCTTCACAAGTATCTAAAAGACCTAGATACACATCTCCTGCCTGCCTACTGCCACTGCATAGTGTTTTTTTCCCAGTAAGCAAGATTAGCAGGAGAAGATGGGAAGTGTGCATTTTACGAATGTTTCTATATATGGCTGAGCAACTCATTTCCTCAGAGTATTCTTGCCCAGTGCATCACCAAACACACAAATGGGTACATAAGGGAACTATTTAAAGGCACATAAGGGAACTTGACAGTCCTTTACCTTTTGTAATACACGAAACATGGTTTTTCATTTGGCAAACCATCAGCAGAATCCTTTTAGGAGATTTTTCACTAGTTGTATGCATTTATTTTAGTAATGTCTAAATAAGTTTTATCATTAGTGCAGCATAGATACAAATCTGTGCTAAGTCAGTATTTATTTTAAGGTTTAAGTTATGTAACTGACACCAATCAGAGTTTTGAATCCTTCTGGTACATTTTAAAAAGCAGAAATTATATGATCGTCATGTGGATCTTACAAGCTAGAAAATGATTTTAAGGTTCTGTGGGCACTGTGGTGGGGGAAGGATGGGAGTCTTTTGGCAGCAATGAACTTTCTGTATACATTTCTGTAACACTCTCTTTGGAAATGAGCATCAGAAAGTGGTGTTAACAGCAAAGAGAAAGGTAGTGACTGCTCAAGACGTGTCAGGAGCCTGTCTCCTGTGAGAAGCAGCAGCAAGAGGAGAGGTGGCCAGGCACCAAGGTCTCTGTACACACACACTGGAACACGGCACAGCTGCTGCTGTTCACATCAGAGCTTGTGATCAGGAAGCTTGAGCCAAGCCCTTTAACATGCACAGCAAAAAGGTGGTCTGTGATCAACTTTGTTTTACCTGGACAGACTTTACAGCATTTTCCTTCTACTTTCTGAGGGTATTTGCAGGGATATTGTTCTGGGCAGTGAATTTTCTTACATTCTTGTTTGGTGATGTTGCAGGTGCACAACACACACTCTACGATTCCAAAGGACCGGAGATTGGGATGCCAAGATTCACCATGTGAGTATGTTTTGCCATTTGAAACACAAACTACAGAAGAAAAGAAAAAGAAGAAAAGGTACAACTGGAAAACGTATGTTCACTGGCTACCTATCTATAAATATTAATTTAATTCATGCACATTTGTTTAAAGTAGTGTCTCCATACATCATCTGTTAGCATCTCAGGCCCATTTCTCTGCTTGTTAATTTTAACTTGCAGTTCCTTTACTTGAGTCTGAGCCCGTGGTCACCTTTTCCTGAGCAGGGTTTCCTTGATGCCAACTCTGCTGACGCTGATGTCCATTATGTTTTGAGGAAAACAGTGAAGGTATTTGAGACAAGTGTCTGACTAGCTCCCCCCCAGTTCATGCATTTCAGTTATGCTTTAACCAGCTTAGAAAACCCACTCCCTTTCCCTCTTATTCTCAGTCCAGAGACAGGACACAGCCTGCTACAGTGGCTTTGGCTGCATTTGAATCGAATTTGCAGATGAGAGGTCCATGTCATTTGCTACTGAGTCATCTGCACATCTGCAGCCATTTGCTGGACACGGCCTTTGCAGTGAGAGAAATGCCATCAACTGGATGGATTAGTGATACCTGGGCCTTTTATTGCTTGTGCATGAGAGTTCTGCTACGTAGCACACAGAAAAAAACACAGAATACTTGCAAAATGAAGTTTAATTCCTTTGTAGAAATAGATACACTTATAGGTAGATAAATTCATTTGGCTTTTGGAATCACAAGAAAACATGAAAAGATGCATATGGGACTGAAAATTCATTCCAAACTTTCTAAGAACTTCAGAATATTTATTCATCAGAGCTCCTGGGAGTCAGAGAAATACAGCTGACACAGAGAGTGGAAAAATCCATGCCTGGTAGAAGCCACTTTGGGTCACCCAGCAGTTGATGGGAATTAAATCACTTTACACCATGTTTCCATTTGTCTTCTAAATCCTAGTTCTTTCTTTTAAAATATTTTATAAACACAAAGAAAAATGCAAACTAATCCTAACAAGGTGAAAGAAAGGGCACTGCCTGATTTGTAAAAGCAACAAAAGTGAAGTGGGGATATGTTGTAAATACTTCCAATTCTTCTAATACGCCATCATTTTTATTAACCTTTTTACTTGTAAAATATTTTCCTATTTTGCCTATAACTTTCAAAAGCAATTTAATTTTCATCTGTAATCTGAAATTTATATCTAACTGGTAACAGATGTAACCAACTGGTTTATACTTTAGTGAGTTACTGAGATTTATGGGGAGTGTATTTTGCAATGTCTTTCCTGAGCTTATGCTATCATTTGGTTTATAATTTGCTACTTTTTAACTCTTTTTTAAGACATGGTTTTTTTTCAGAGATAGGAAACAGTTTTGTTCCTCAAACAAAATGGTAGTTTTATCTGTACACTAAGAACATGTGAGAAAACTATAAATGAAAAAACTGATAAGTACTCAGTTGTTCAGCAGGCTTCTTACATGCTTATTTAGCATAGTATTGCTAATTTGTATGTTTACATAGACTTCTTTTCCTCCAGTCAGAGTTCTCCAGATCCTTTATGGACATAAATACTTTCTGAGTTCTCCCTGACAGGGGAAGGGATAATACACGACATTGCATGGATACATACTCTCTGGTTTTTTAGGGTTATTTGACACAGAACAATTAAATAAATACTCTGAGGTAGCAGATGAAGGCTCTAGCAGAAGCCAAATACTGGCAAATAACTTCTAGTTACCCTGGTTTTAGTGCTCTTCAGAATGATAAATGTATATCCACACAACCACATAGTATTTGCATGTCAGGAGAGTTGTTGTGTGTTTAACTTGTTGAATGTGTCTCAAGGGACATGTGCATTAATTAATAAAACACTTGTTAATTGCACAGGAACAAAAGAAAACACATGGTCAGCATTCCTGTTTCTATCATGGGGATCTCTCAGACACTGTTCAGGCAGTGAGTGTCTGAAGTTATGCTGCATCCAGAAATATGCTGTTCATCTGTATGCCCTTTATTTGCTGAAACAAATCAGTTAGAAACTGCTTTGATGATGTCTTCATGTGTGAATTACATGTCAAAGACATTGCACTGTATGGAGATTCCTGCTCCTAGATTCACCATAAAACACTGGCATGATCTGAAAGCTTTTTCATGCTTGTTCAGGTGGATAATAAAGATCTTATAGCCAACATTCCTTCTGTTAGTTAATACCTTGAAAGATTAGTTGGCCCTAATACAAGGGATTTTAACTCTTTGTGAGTAGTTTCTAAGTATATGCTGACTGGTATTTGTAGATAGATGCTCTTCTGAGCATGTGTTTTTACAGCTATTTCTTTTATAGCTTCCTGGGCCTGTTTCTGCAGACCTCTGTTCACTGAGTTACATGCCTTGTGGGAACTGAGCATCCCACCCTTTTTACTGTATGAAACCTGCTGTCCCACTAACTGGTGAGCTGGTATTTTCCCTTTACTTTTGTCCTTCTTGTAGTGCATGAGGAATATGACTTGAATATGGTTTGCCACATGGGCTTAAAATTCTGCTGTCCCTAAAATGCAGCACGTCGTATATTCTATTAGCAGAAGACACTAAAGGATTCATAGAGTGAGATTCATTATATTGGCTAAATCTGCCTCTCTACAGCTCAGGGATCCAGTACAGGCTAATTGCCCATCCTGCCTCTTGTGTTAGTCATGGGGGAGGAACATCATCCCTTGTATCCCACTGTGTCAGGAAACTTGTTTAAGGTGGGGGAAGACATGAGACTGTCTTTCATAAGAATAATTTGCTAAGTCTCAGCGGCAGAAAACCTCCTGATACTGTGGAAAAGCTTTATGGTCTGAGATTTGTGGGGCAGTTGAAATATGAGGTGTTTACAGCTATAAAAGTTACAAAATAGGAGAGAGTGTAAAGAAGATAACCACAAACAATTTCCTCCAGGACAAGTCACTATGTGAACAAGTTAGTGAATCTAAAGGCATTGTGGTGTCCTTTGTGGCACAAAGCACTCACTTCCCTGGCAGCCAACACATGAGCTCTCAGAATTATAGGGTACAATCACACAAAGTAACTCAGAGAGCAACACTGCTTTTGCAGAGTGAAATGCATTGTTGTACTACATGTGTAGGCAGAATTTATCTCAGTCAAGAAGGAATTTAATATGCTCAATAGCTTATTGCTTTTGCCTCCCCGATTTGCATTGGATTTCTCAATACCAGTGCAAATTTTCAAGATTCTGCTGTATATTTGGAGATGCCTTTTTGAGCTCTAGGTGACTGATTCCTGACCCAGAGGAATACTTTAAGAAGTGCTTGTCTTTACCTCGTCCGTGCTTATGCTTGTTGTTGATGACGATTTGTACTATTGTTCCTGAGGCCTGCTGGGGATCCGGTAGGACTCCACGGTTACTCCTGGCATTGGGAAATCGTGGAATGTTGACTAACTGCCTGGCAGAGCTGGGTAACAGGTCGTAATGGGAGCGATGGTATGAGTGTCTCTGTTTGGAGACAGAAAGAGAGCAGGAGAGTACGTCTCATTCCAATGAACAAGGGATATGAGTAGGGAATGAGTACTGCTGGACTAAAAGTAGCTGTAGTAGTGCATAGCATGTTTTCTAGAGCAAAAACACTGCTTCTTTTCAGAGAATAATTTTCCAAAATGCCCATGAACCTGAAGGTTTCCTATTACAGCCCGTATTTTATAGACATGATTCTTCCCACTCATCCAAAGATTTGCTGGTTCCTCTATTTAAGTATGCACCTAATGCTTAAAAACCCTTCAGATTATCTCCAAATGCTCCGATAAAAATAATCTCTTAAGCAGTAAATTGTTAATGGATACTTTTACCACCAAAGACAGTGAAGCCCTGTAGTAAATATGTATGTGTGCCTATAGTAAATATATATGTGTGTATGTGAACTGGGAAGCAAGTATTTGCAATTATTATTTAAAAGTAATTCTTGCCTAGGAAACCAATACTGTCAAATTTTATTCTTATAGAGCATATACAGAAAAAACCAACTCCAGAGATTTCAGGAGCTCCTGCTCTAATTCAACATTATTCATGAATTCAGGTTGAGTGAAAGAAACCTATTTTGGGCTAGATTCACAGAATCTAGAATGAGGCAGTAGGTATTCAGACCCATTATTATCCTTTTATCTTTTTCCCAAATGTACTGCCATGTACTGCACAGCAAGAAAGTACGTCTTTAAACTGTAGGTCCCACTTACAGCTTCCCTGTTGGCTGGCTGCCGAAATATATCTCCATCAGAATGTTCCCACGATAATTCTCCATCTCCTGTACACAAAGCAGAACAGTATCCATTAGAGGATTAACTGTGCAACACCTTGGGCGATACAGACGGAAAAGTCTCACCTGGCTTGACAGCTGTATTTGGGTCTAGTCATTAGCAGAGGAATGAATATGAAAATCAGCAAATCTTGATAGTAATATACTTGGCCATGCAGGGAGCAGAAGCTGAACTCACAATTTCCTCCCCATGAGCTGTGCTAGATCTTTATAAATATTTGTTTTTAGGTTTGCATTTCATAGAAAACACAGAGAAGAGATAAAAGAGCTTCTGCCGTATTGAAAAGAACAAGGTAGATTATGAGATAAATGATCATTTTAACATTTTTAAATAAGTGCAGGAGAATACATTAAAAAAGTCCTGAATCACTGCAGACAGTGGGTTGCCTCTAGTGCATAACCTGATATAATCTCACCTCTCATATGGAAATGCTAGTGAACCGGTTTCTCATTAGTGACTGCGTCTGAAGCAACTGATTTCTCCAGTGTAAGGCTGGTTTACTGCATAGCTTTGTACTTTGAAAATCAGATTGATTTTTGTAACTGAAAGAGGCTGGTTTCAGATACAGTTCAAATAACTACCTGGTAACTGACATCAGACAATTAACAAAGATTTACTTTAATTAACTGTCAGTGTAGTACATTTAAAACAGTATACCACTGTATTTCTTCCTGGGAACAGAACTATCATTTTGCTTGTTTGAGAT